ACTTTATAACAATACAAATGTGAAATATCAAGAGCATAAATGCTTTGTAATTAAAAGAACAAAAATTAAAGTTTAAAAATATGGCATGTGATTTTTTCGCATTTGGTCTTTCCCTTTATTCTGAATCAAGTTCGAATGCGATGCACAAATGTCACCACATTCTCCCACTCTGGATTACAGGGAGTGGGAGAATGTGGTGACATTTTGTGCGAAATTTTTCGCTAATAAATTTCGAGTGAGCTGACTACAAAAATTTAAGCATTAAATATTTTTATGAAAAATATCTACACAATACTTATAATGTGACGATTCTGAATATTATAAACGGTTGTATGCATATTTTTAACTTAAAAACAACAAATAAAATGCCATTGGAAATCCTATTGATAACGATACATGATCAGCCAACTATTGCCACGGAATATTAATACCGAGTTTTATGCAATTTGGAGGCGAAATAAAGACATTTTGTGTGAGAATCTGTCTCTTCAGAAAAATATATTAACAATTATGAAAATTCGCCTTATGAGCCACTTAACAGTGAAGAATTCAAATAAAAATTATGAAAGATCAATTATAAAGCTACAAAAAATAATATTTTTTCTTTCAAATTTACCGTGTGTATGATTTAATGGACGAAATAAAGAAGGACGAAATCAAATAATTGGCCACTTAAGAATTTGATGAGATAAAATATCGAAATTAAATAAAAAGCTACACAATTATGTAGTGAAATAATAAATTGCGAATTAATTTAATTCAATCGCGGTTTTTTGCCATCATAAAAAATGTTTTTTTTTTACTTGTAATTCGTTGTAGTTGTTGCACAAAATTGCATCAATACAATAAACAGCTGTTTCAAATGCAGTTGTATGTTGCCATATTTTCAAAATAAAATTAATTTTCTTTTCATTACAAAGCAGTTTTACAGCGGATTCTTGATATTTCAAATTTATATTGTTATAAAGTTTAAATAACAATAAAAAGTAACAATTTCAAAAAAGAAAATCAATAAATAAAATATTGAAAAATATTACAAATTTAAATTACAATGGGGCAACACACATTACAACTTAAATTACAATATGGCAACACGAATCTTTTTTCAACCGCTATTTTCAAGAATTCGAATCCGCATCTCGCATTTATTGCTTCTCCCTATTAATTCAGAATAAGACGAGAATGTGAAGCGAGATCTCTCCCTAGCGAATATCCAGAAAAAGGCCGTTTAATTAGGCTAGCAGAATTACAAAATATATTTCAAGCGGAATTGCAATTGAATATATATATATATATATATATATATATATCAAGGAATCGAATTTAATATTCTTGTTTAAGGTGAAAAGTTTTTTAAAAATTTTTTGTGGTGTGTGTATTTGTAACGTAAGAAAAATATTTTATAAGAGATTAATAATAATGCAAAACTTTTTTTAAGATACTTAGAAATAAAAATTATTATTTCTTTGTCAGGCTTTTTTACAATCGAACCACAAACATCCATGTATGTATTTTGTATTTTCTCTAAATTGCCCTCGGCATTAAAAAAGCTTGGCTTTGTTATATTATATTTCATTCTGTATATGTATATAGATTTATGGTTAAATGTATATACTAATAAATATATATTTAGGCGTAAATAAAGATATTTAATGAATGGTTCATTTGTTATGTGTAGCTTTGATAAAGATTATATTTTGAAATAAAAAACAACAATTTGATAATGTTCCATCAATATGATGAAACAACATCTTAACAATTATTTTTGTTATTGAAATCCTTCAATTGTTATTGCAAAATTCAAAAATATATGTATTTACAAACTGGTCTGGTAAAGTGTCTCTACAACGAAACTTATATATTAAAGTGACCAGTTTTTTTTTGCCGTACAAATACATTTTTTATTTGATCGCCGATACCAGATTAGAATTTCATAATGGAGTTTAAGGTTCTTTACAAAAGAGTTCATACTTTTTTAGTCTACTGGACGACACGCTGGGCCTCTTTGAAATTCACAATATATTGAAAGATTTCAATTCATCATCATCGAATACAATTTTTTTTTTTGAAATATAAATATCCCAAAATATCTAAACAGAAACAATATAAAAAAACATTTTCGATAATAAATATGTATTTCAAATCAGTAGAATAATATACTAAATTTTCGAATAGTTTTTGTACATTGAACTATATTGTAGCTCGAAAGATTTGCAATTTTCGCAATTTTGTGTGGTGGAGGTACTAGATGGAGTGCGGTGAGTTTCATCTTCTTCTTAATTTTAGTTTGAGAGGAAACGTACGATGTGCACAGTGTGTATCAAATCAATCAGACATTCCATTAGCCTAATAATGGATTTATAATAATTGAAAATTTTTATCATTTATGGGCTGGAGGTACAACCTTCAGACTTGATATAGGATTGGTAAAGATAATAGGTTTAGCAAAGTTCAAATCGAATATTAAATTTTATTTCTCAGCAAAATGTTGGCCATTTTTTTGGTGGAGGTATCAGAAGGAGTGGACCGATATTATCCATCTTCGAACTTGAACTAAGTTTAGATGAAATCGGATTTTCATTTTATTTTTCAGCAAAATGTTGACTATTTTGTTGTAGAGTCACCAGAAGGAGTGGACCGATATTTCCCATCTTCGAACTTGAACTAAGTTTGTATGAAATCGAATATTAAATTTTACTTGCCAGCAAAATGTTGACCATTTTGTGGTGGAAGTATTGGAGGGAGTGGACCAATATTAACCATCTTCGAACTTGAACTAAGTTTGGATGAAATCGGTTACTCCCTTCGAGAGTAATCGTGCGCACCAGCCAGCAAAGCAGGCAGACCAACGGAAGGACATTCGTTAATTGACTCCAAATTTAACCCAAAGATGCATGGGGTTTAAAACCAATATTTCGATGAGGCACATTTTCCGTATTAGCCTGAGGTTATAAAAAGACTATGAAAAAAATTTAGCAGCCGAATCTAAAAAAGAAATATTTTTGTTCATGTGGAAGAGCTGAAGGTATTCTTCATCCTATAGGGGTGCTGGAGGTATTCTTTTTCCTATAGGAGAGCTGCAAGTATTTTTCTTCCTGTGGAAGTGCTGCAGAAGAATAACACAAATAAATATCGATATTCATGAAACGTTGTATTGATTTTCTATAATCACATTTAGCTCATGTAAGCGCTCGTTTTGTATTTATTGTTTCTGTTCAGATATATAAAAGTAACAATGTGTGTTTTTATTTATTTGACGCCGTAACTTTATGTTTATTTTTTTTAAATTAATTTAGTTATAGAAAAAAGGAAATATATTATTATAAATATGTATATTAAATAAAATATATTTTTCATAATAAACTCAATATTTAAACAAACACATGTAGAAAACCCATGTGAACTTGAGGTTATAAAAGTTTTAATTTTATCTATATTTATATAAAATTATATAAAATTTACTGTTGTTGCAATAAAAATATAAATTGTTTGTTTTTATATACCACACCAAATAAATTAGTTCGATTTTCCATTACGATGCATACATATAATAAAACATTTTGAAAGTATATTGAAAACGAAATTCGATTATTTAAGGAAATTTTTAGTATTGATATAAATTGATTTGTTTAATTTGTTTTTTTTTTTCTTAATACACATTAAAAAGAAAATGAATAAATTAGAAAAAAATGTGTTATGTAATGATCAAAAATTAAAATTAGTATCGTAAAATATTTTCTCGTTTTGGTTTTAGTTTTTTTTGTTTGTTTATTATTTAATGAAATATATTTATTTGTTTATTTTCCATAATAGAATAACATATCTCATCACGGTGATATTATAAAAATATATCAAATTTGACAATTGTTTCATAAAAATTAAAAACAATGGATAATTAATTCTTAAACACAATTTTATGTCTGCACATATTATATATACTATATATATAGTTTTATAATTTTATTTCAGTAGTTAACATTCGCACAATAGCGTAATTTCAATTTCTTTAAGAAATATATATTTATCATTTGTTACACATACAATTATATAATTTGTTTTTTTTTTTTTTTTTTTTTGATACAGTTTTGGGTAGGAGGAGAGTACAAAAAAAATTAGTTATTTACTATGTGTAAGCTTCGTGTGCTGTGATTATTCGTAAATAATGTACAAAGTATATTTTATATATATTTTTAGATTTGTAAATCAAAGATTTATCTATATATATATGTGTATATATTAAAAATATATATAGGGGTGTTACAAAAACTCCTATCCAAAAAGTCTATTTTCATGAGGTTGAGAAACACTTAGAGAGAATGAGAGTGAGGTGAAAATAGTGAGTGTATAAGCATAATTTTTTTTTTCACTGCAAAACATTTTGCACTACGACTATACCTACACAATTCGTCAAATATACATTAATATAAACAACAACAATAATATCGTTTCGAATTGTTACAAACTAAAAACTGAATTTACGAAATATAGAATTTGAAAAGGCGTACATTATTAAACCACTAGTTATGATATGATACTAAAGAGACATAAACAAGAATATGACAATAAATAAAATTATTATAAAAATCTCAACAATTTTTCTTTTATTATAAAATTAAGCCTATGTGTTAAAACAATAATCTGCTGATTTGTATGTAGTATATGATAAAAGGCATTTGAGGATTTGTTTAGGGCATTTAGGGGGGTTAGACCTTTTTAGGCTAATAAATCAGAATTCAAAGACATTTTAAGAATCACAGAGCAACCAAAATACAGTTAGTCTTCTTAAAAAAATAAAACAAGAGACACAATAATAATTTACTACTATCACTTTTAAGATCATTTACGCACATATACACTCACATATTATCAAAACTAAATCAAAAATAAGCAGAATTAAAGGACATTGGTTGTCGTATATATTTTTTTCTTTCATTGCTTCATTTGGCTGGCAAATGAATTTTGTTCTAAGTCTGTATATATTTACCATTTGTTATTTTGTTTTATTCTAGTTTTATGCCGCTATCATCGCCACCACCCTTTGGCCACATTTTATCAACAATTTCTGTGATATCGAATTCGGTATCATCTAGTTTTTGTGTTTGGCATTGTTCCATTTGCGTTTGCTGTGTGCTTCTTGCCAAACTGTTATTGTTTGTAAGACTATTAGACGTTGATGATGCATTAGTAGCTGTGGTGGGCGCAACATTTACATCGTCGCTCCAGAAACTGTTTAAGCCCAAGTTCATAGATGTTGCATGTTTCGAATTGTTATTCCACAACATATCATCGTTTAACGTTGAATTCTAAAAATATATATACACATATATTAATTTAAGTAATCAATTTATCATTCTTCTATTCAGCAATTCCAATATTAATATTTAAGAGTATCGAGAAAATAGTATATTTTTACTATATTAAACTAAATGTGCAATTATATTTTACTCAAATATAGGATAAAAACTAACTACCGAACCACTGTTAAATTTTGGTTCACACATTTCTTGTGAGTAAAATGGGGTCTCTGGATACATGATTTGATATAGTACCCATATAATCGTATCTCCCGATTAGAGGTAATTTAAATCTATTATCCACATTTAACAATCAAATTGGCTGTAATTAGGCATAGGCGTGAGTTCCCAATGTCCACAAAAAATGGGAGCAGACCTATTTTGCTTGCACTCGGCACTAGACATGTATGTAGAATTCCCCTTTTAGTTATCTTATGGCAGCAACTCCTGTTCATTAAATTTTAAATTTTTACTGATTTGCGATTTTTTATTTATGAAGTTATTTTATTTATTTATTATTATTATTATTATTACAATTGAGTTTGTCCGTTGTAGTTCGGCTACAGTCCGAATATTCGAAGAGAAAGATTTCTTGCACCCAATGTCATCCTAGAAGATTAGGGAAACCAAATCTAAAGATGATTTAATCACCATTATTCAGGACATCAATTCACCGTGAATCGTGTTCGCTCTTCCCTTTAAAGTTATTCCGAACCAAAAATTGCAGGGAATTTATTCGCAAAATCCGCGTTGAGGAAAAATTAGTTATTATGGATTCGAATGCGTATGCGTATTTTGTACGAAATTTTTCGCTAATAAATTAAAATGGAACTGACTACAAATATATAAGTATTAAATATTTTATGAAAAATATCTACACAATTGGTCTGTTCCTGTTCTGCAAGAATCTACGCGTTTTTAATAGTAAAAAATTGTAGATTCTTGCAGTACGGGAACAGGCCAAATACTTATTCAATGACGATTTTGAATATTATAAATGGTTGTATGCATATTTTTAACTCAAAAACAACAAAAATGCCATTGGAAATACTATTGACAACGATGCATGCTCAACCAAATATTGCCACGGAGTGTATAAAGGCAATAAGGAATATTTAAGCCGAGTTTGATGCAATTTTGAGCCGAAATAAATTTTGTTTCAGGATCCGTCCCCTCAGAAAAAAATATTACAAATTATGGAAAAACCAAAATTGCCTGATGAGCCGCTTAACAGTGAAAAACTCAAATAAAAATTATGAAAGAACAATAATAAAGCTACAAAAAATATTTGTTCACTTTAAGAATTTGGGGAGATAAAATATCGAAATCGAATTAATTTAATTCAAACGCAGATTTCTTCCCATTATTCGTTGTGTATTTGAAATCGTTCCATGCGGTTTTTGCCATCATAAAAATGTTCTTTTATTTGTAATCTGTTGTAGATGTTACACCAAATTGCATCAAAACAATAAACAGCTAACCAGCATCAACTGTAATAAGGGAGACATGCGTCTTGTGTGTTGGAAGAGAAGCCTTCCAACACACTTATCTCTTCTGCCTCTTACTGAGAGGAGAGAGATCCCAAATGTCTGTGATGAACGTTGGTACTCTCGTGCTATTCTTGCGTTCATGAATCCGGCGCAAATGAATAAATCGGACCTTCTACACGATCTGTCAATCTATATAGACACAGAATTTTCAATCGACAACTCTACAAACTAAATTATGAGTAGGAAATAGTTAAATATGACTGTTGGTAGATTAGAGATAAAAACGCTAAAAACAACTTCTCTCTTCACATCAACAACTTCCTTATTCCTATCATCTTCTTTTGAACAGCTACTTTAGGATGATCACACTGGACTATATGTATTCGAGTGGAGCGCATATCTCTTGCTGTCTAACCTATCGACACACTAAAATGTTGGTCTAATATCAAACTTAGTGGTAACAATTTTTTTTATCAACTTTAAAGCAAAAAAGAACAAGATCAAGAGGTCTAATAGAAGACCAAACAAAATTTGTATAGACCACCATAAGTGTTCTTGCATAACACAATAAAAAAGACTTTTTATAAAAAGCCATTGGGTCATCTTAAAAAATTCTTAATCACGACCATATATTTTTCTTCAATTTGAAAGAAGTTTTTGGAATCGTACATGGTGTCATGGGCAAATTAATAAAAATACACAATTGCTCTGTTCGTGATCCTGCAAGAATCGTCAATAATCGAAATTAATCTATAATACATGAACGGACCTTCTTTGGAATTTACCACACTACTAAGACTTACCATAGTATGGAATATGATGAGTACTTCGACAAACTTTTAAACTAGTGTTAGTGAACTGCCTTCAATACTCGTATATACAATACAATCTCAAAAAAATATATATAGATTGTAAAAGGATCTCTTTAAGAAAAAAAAATTAGTGTATGAGTATACTTGCCTTTGTTATATCCGATTCAAAATTATTTCCGCCCAACATGTGAAACAGTGGGTTGATGTCGAAAGAGTAGCGATTAATTTGTTGTTGCTGTTGTGGATGATGGTCACGTTCATTATGTTCGGGGGCAGTAGTAGAATCATCCATAAATGATAATTTCGATAATGTTGCCTGCATATTTTCATAATTATCAAATGCATTTACTGCTTGCGTTAAATTTTGTGGACCGGAGGCAATGTCTGGCACGATATCAAGATCGGATGATTGTGACGATGTTGCATGTTTGCTCAGAGTCATACCCAACGGGTCGTTATTATCCAACGAGAATACTGTAAAATCGTTGCCATTGCTATTCGTATTATTAGATGCGGAGGAGTGCATATTATCGTTTTCTTGGGCTATTAGAGCGTTCCAAGAATCTACAAATGTATTTGTGTTATTTGTAGAATGGGCTAACGATGATGCCGCCATGCCCTTGTACATTGGGCAAATGGGACCATACTTATTTCCTAGTGATGCCGTAGATGTCGGCGGTACATCAAATGTTGCTGCGTCATCGTCTAATATAGAGTCTGATCGCACAAAATTCTCCCTATCACGGAATAAAGACGTTGATGGTGATGGCGGTTCTATGTTTACACTATTATTAGTTGTGCTGCTGATGAAATGTACACCTCTGTTGTTAGTTTGTTCATTGTTATTGCTCAGATTCCAAAATGGATTTGGTTTGCCATGCAAACCACCTATGGGCGTTTTATTCTTCACTCTGTCAGTATCATTAAGAGCTGTTCCAGAGACTTCCAGAAAATTTGATTTGCCTTTAAATAATAAGTTATCGGGTAAAATTTGGGGTGAATCGATTAAATTAGTTGTGGACTTGGTATTGTTGTTGTACTCCAGTGGATTTGTATCGAAGAACACATTAGAGTCTAATGGCGGTCTTTGAGCAGGCTGTTGTTGTGGCTGCGTAAGGGCAGGTGGCATCATATACATGGGATGACACGACTGTTGGTGATGAGCATCCCACGAAGCATTTGGTCCCACCTTTGTCATTTTGGTTTTAGGCATTCTCAATGGCATATCGCCTGGCATGGCTTCAGCAATATTGGCATTTGCAAAATAAGTTGGAGGTGGAGGAGTGTTAAAATACTCTCCCGGCATTGCCGAATTAAATATATTTTTATGCAATGGACTACCTGATGGTTTATTTGTGTTTGTGCCCTGTAAATTCGGTGGGTTTACAACGGTGGATACATTTATCGGGTTATGCACGGAAGATCTGGGTGATAAAATGCCCTGTTGTCCCGATGGACCGCCTCCTCCAACACCACCTGCCGCCATCATTCCGCTGCTACTTATGGGGCCTCTGATATTATGTGGACGCATATTGGGAGGCATGGGCATTCCGATATTTGGCATTCGCATATACTTGCTGCCATAATTGGGCGATGCGAAAGGCATACCGTCAAAGTTGGTTGGGTGCTTATGCATTGGTGGCACATTTATAATGGGCGTGGGTGCATTGATGCCTAACAAGTGTCCAGGTTGTGGTATGGGGCTAGAATGCAATGCCCCGAGGGGGCCCTGCATACTTAACGGTGACGTTGTATTAGAAAGACCACCCATGAATGCAGTAGATTCCATTAAATTGGGACGCATGCCGATACCAAGGTTTCCCCCATTCGACTCGTTGTTGGAGTATTTCCTCATAGGCGATGATTTCATTTTGACTGGAGAATTGCCGTTGTCAATGGCATTTGACAGCGTAAGACTTTGCTGCACCGTGTGAGAAGGAACCATATTGTTGTTCGGGTGTTGATTTTGGTTTTTAGGATATTCATTTCTTACATTTTCCATTTGACTGCTGACGCCCGAAACACCTGTAACCGTGTGGGGCCTCACCATTGTTTTGTCACCAGGACCCGACCTACGATGTTTAGCACGATATCTTTGGCGTTCTTCTGCTGAGTGAGCAAATGTACAATTTGGCCCGCGAGGACACATACGCCTTTCCGTTAAATCGCGACACAGGCTTATCTTATATTTGCCATTCGCATTCATGGGAGGCGCAGGATAATCTTGTACCTTGCGATTGCTGTGATACTGCATGAATTTCACTAAACCCAAAACAACAAAACGAACCGCTTCCAAAGCCTTTTCGACTTCAGACCATGTTGGAGGCGGACTCTCCGGCGATGGGTCGATAGAAGCTAAATGCTTCAGATGTGGACGCAAACTGGATAGATTCGTTGGATCTCCTGTGCGCTGCAAGGCTAATACCAACTCTTGGACAGATTGGGCAAATGATGAGGGTGTTTGTAAGGTGTCGCATATGCTCTGCATATGTGACTTGTGAGATGTGTTTCCGTACAGCAGGGATGACCATTGGTCGGGCGCAATTCTTAGTCCAGCCTCCGTGGCAATTTGTACAATTTGGGCGTCGTGTTCACGACGCAAAGCTTCGTAGTTGCGAAATTCTTCTTTGAGTTGCATTAATGACGAATCTCCTTCCCTTTTCGACACCTTAAAACAACTAGCGCGGTATAACAATTGCACCACGTGACCAATACTGGTCTTAGATGCCGGCAATGAATTGTCGATTAAACGCTGCACAACATACATAACCAAAACCTTACGAGAGAGGGCAGATCCGTTTTGCAACGCCTGCAAAACCAATTTTAGCACTTCTTCCTGCATAGATGGACCCAAAAATTGACAACCACGAGACCGAACTGCCGCCCACAGGCATAAGCTCAACTGTTGTGGATTCTGATGTTGTAATAATAGCTCCGTGACTGTACGTTCACCAAGAAATCTAGCTGTTCGAACTGCCCTTATGCGACCCTCTTCTTCCATCAATTGGCAGTTGACCAATGTCACCAACTTCCGTAACATTGGACGTGTTAGCAAAGCATTGCCACTGTTTGTAACAAACGATTTCAAATATTGGGCAAGGTCTTCGATACATTTCTTAGAAGATTTGTAGCATTTCAAATCGTCTGGTTTTAAATTGCGAACACTCGGTGGCATGTGTTGATCCCCAAACGCCCCTTCATTGTCACTGGGACCAGCAAATGTTTTATTCGCGTTCGTTGTGTTTTTCGTATTGGAATTTGTATTGGATGTAGAGGCGCCACTGTTATTCTTGCCATTGCTACCATTTCCATTATCATTACCATCCCCTGAGTTAAGTAGTTGCAATAGAGCATTGTTTATTGGTAAGTTATCAACATCTGTTGATATTGATGTCTGAAAAGGATTCAAGAAGGAATTCAAAATAAAAAACTGTATTTCAAACTTAGGAAAACCAATTAATGTACCTGATCAAATGGACATTGACGACTGTATAACGTCGACAGGCAGACACGACATATAGTATGACCACAGCCTAAACTAATGGGTAAACGTTGATTTGTTGAAAACTCGTTTTCACATATGGGACAGGTATAAAATTCTGTCCACGAAGGCGCCTGAAACGGCATTCTGAAATGAAATAATTATATAATTCAATTATTGTTTATACATTCTTTTTGGTTCATATTCTGAAGCAAACATTTTATTGTTTTGTTGTGATATTTGCCTGATTTTTAGAATAACGCGAATCTCAAAACCATTTTGCTGCATAGCCTTAACTTTGGATTTGATGGCTACAGCCGAATAGTATGGTGGGTGAAGCAAAAAATGAGTCCCGATATATTTAGAGACTATATAAGGAAATATTGATAATTTTGAAAGAATAAATCAAGACATCAATTATTATATATAGAACTCCATTTCTCAAAGAAAATATAAATCGTTGCAATAGAATATGTTATAGGATGTTTTGCCACCAATCATTTAGCAGATGATTTCACACGTAGCGGAAATTAAATATTAGGGGTTTAACATTAACCGATTTTTGGCAAAGCTAGTGTTTCTATGTATCAAATAGTGGCGGTGAAGAAGATACTCCATAACCAATAAAAGATGACGGTATAGATTATATACCACCTAGCCAAGATGAGGTCAGAGTAGCACTTAATTAGCTGAGGAACAATAAAGCAGCAGGTGCCGATGAATTACCAGCCGGATTATTCAAGACCTGTGGTCAGATGCTGGTCAGGAGCATGCACCAGATGATTAGTACAATTTGGCTAGAGGAATGCTTGCCCAATGATTGAAACGTTCTTTGTTGCGTGCACAAAAAAGAAGACAAGACGATATGTGCCAAATATAGAGGAATAAGTCTCCTTCCCATCGCATATAAAGTGCAATCCTGCGTACTGTGTGAACGACTGAAGCCAATGGTCAATGGCAATAGTGGGCCATACCAATGCGGCTTCAGGCCTAGCAATTGACCAGATTTTCACTCTGCGCCAGATCCTGGAAAAGGCTCACGAAAAACACATCGACATATTCAACCTTCGTCTTCGACTTTGAAACCGCAATCGACAGCCCTATCCGTTCAGAAGTGTTTAAATTCATGTCTGCGTTCGGCATTCCTGCAAAATCAATAGGCTATACAGGATAACTTTAAGTGGCACAAGGTCAGCAGTTCAAGTCAGAAAGGACCTCTCAGAGCCCTTCGATACCGAACGAGGATTCAGACAAGGTGCCAGTTTGTCGTGTGATCTTTTTAACATCCTGTTGGAGAAGGTCATACGAGACGCAAAGGTGAACAGAAATGACACTCTGTACACCAAACAACACATGGGTCGAATATTGCGAGCAGTAACAGCCACATTTGAACAAATTGAGAAAACTCACACTCTACAAGACGCTGACACTATCCTTGCCGTAACATTTATCTGTCAAAGCAGGGAATTAACCATCTATGGGCCGAGCGTTGTACCCATCGAATTAACCATATACTCGGGCATCGGCATTGTTAGACGTATTGAGCTGCAGCGAATACGTTGGCTAGGTCATGTTGTGGGTTCGCTCAGAAGGGGTATACCACGAATTCGATGGAAAAATTAAGTGGAAGACAACATCTCGGTGCATGTCCTTTCAAATTGGAAGAGCTGCGCATTAGAAGCTGAATCGTGTCCCGATTTCCGATCACGTTGAAAATATAAGCACATATTATTGCTTGGAGCATAAACAAAAAGTCGAGTGGCTACATATTAAGTATTAAGATTAAAGCTGCTTGGGTGGATGCCTCAAGTTTATACCCATATTAGGAACAAGTTTAGGGGCTCCACTCGGATCATTTTGAAATTTCTACCGTAAGCAGTTCTCCTTGAGCTGATTACAGTGCTACACATTTAATGTGGGGGAAATGCATTATAAACAAGATATGGGCCTTGAAACTTCGGAACTTATTTTGTTTAAAACAAACATTTTACAATTGCCACCAAGACAATATTGGTATCATTTGAAAGCTTATAACGAGTAATTTTTTAAGAGCAACTTAAGAATCAAATTAAGATTTGGATCCTTATCCTTAGGCTTTTTCCAAGGAAAAAATATATATTGTGGTAATTTCAAAGCGGTCCCTAGCCGGGGCTTACACCTCACTCACTTCTGTTATTTAATTTTTTTTTACTAAAAATCCAATGTTATATTTCATTTTAGATCTTCAGATCTATGTATCAAATCCCACATATGTTTAGCGTTGAAAACTGCATGGCATTGTAATATCATAATAAAATTTATTTACAGAACAACGGTAGTAATATTACTACAAATATAAATTAGTAATCATTTTATCTTTTACAATATTGATATTTAGTATTTTTTATTATTTTTTTTTTTTTGCATTTTAATGATAACGTAAGCAACTTACGACGCGACAGAGAACGTTGATTAATGGATAATTATCACCAATCTAAAAAAAGAGCAGCAGCAACAAGCAGTTGTCGTAATAAAACAACAACAACAATGCAAACATGAAGAGAACAATGGAACTAACACAGTATTGGGCTTCTCAGCTGATTCTGTTATTCGAAACACAATATTTTAGAAGAATAAAAAAATGAAGATAAAATGCAACAACCTTTATATTTTGTGTGTATTTCTTTTCTTTTCACAAATTTACTATTACATATTGAAATTAATAAGAAGTTTTATATCACGATATATACCATCTGACAAATTTAGGTGCATAGATAGAAGAGAAAAAAATAATTGGTTCACTTGGTCGAGAAGAAGAAAATACATTTGAAAAATATGCGTAGGCACTTATAAAAAGATTTTTCGATTCTTTCTTCTTTTTTTTTTTTTTGTTTTTTTGTTGGCAGTGCGGGTGGTGGTGTTGGGAGGTGTCACCACAAAGAAATGCCATAGACATTAAACATATCGGTCGGTTCACAACGTCATTATGTATTATTATTAACATTAGCAAATGGCAAAAGTAACACAATTATGATACAATCAGCATTATCATCACAAAGCAATAAAACAAATAGCAACGAATTAGACAAAAAAATACACAAAATTCAAAAAATAATCAACGTCAGCAGCGCTGCGTGCGTTGCATTAAAAAAAAAATTTCACAAGTTCAACTTCAGAAATGAGTGACAGCTGTAGGATATTAGCAAAATGTTCACGATGTTTGTTATAGATGGTACATTATTTGAATTTTCACAATTTCATGTTTTGCAATAAAATCGAATGTTGGCTTTTTACCATATAATTTTTCACTTAATCAGTTTTTTTTTTGGTTTTTGAGAAAAGTTGTTACGTTTCACTTTTGCTTTTCTTCTTTCGGTTCTCCTCTTTTTCTACACACCTTCAAAATGCACATATTACTCTTTTCTTCCGAAATCTTTTTTGTTAACAGTTTTTTTCTGGCGATTTAGATTCACGTTTGGCAATTTAATGTTTTATTGTTTTCAAAAATAAATAAACAAAATCCTCTGAAATCGACGAAATATTCGTCGCAAATATGTATTTTGTATTTTTTCGAGAAATAAAAGAAAAATGACAAATGTCTTTTTGATGACAAATAAGGGTTCTATAAATCAGAGTTAGGGATAGGTAAGTCGACTTTCCATTCGTTCGTCGAACAAACGAACGATTACTCATTTTGGCTTTTGAAACCAAATAACGAGTTCAAGGGAGTAGGAAATAGACAAGACCTTTTGGTATTCGTATTTTCGGCTATTTTAATGAGAAACTGTGCTTTATTTATGAACACAGATGTCAAAAAAAAAAAAACAGAGAGGAAATAACTCCAAGATAATTTAAAATATTATATATTTGTATATATTATATTGTATTATAATTTTTTGCTGTTAATGAAAATATAAATGCTGATGAAGTATATACCGATCGATATTGAATATTCGTAAGGAATTCAATCCTCTAGGAAATAATCACAAATAATGGATAATAACTACGAAACTTTTCTGACGGAAAAAGACACTACATACAGAGCATGGCACAATGAATAGGTAGTTCATTTAAAGCAGCTGATGTCTTGATTAACTGTCAAAGTGGTCAATTTTACTTGAATTCGATGTGCAAAGCTACCAACTTTTTCAAATATTATAAGGAAAAATTTGACAGATAATCGAGACAAAAAAATGTTTTTGTTTTGATACATCACCTTATTATTGCATCATGATACAGAGTTGGTTTTTACTGCAGTATTGTTCCATGGTACAGGCTGTCAGTTTTTTCATCAATTAGTGATTTTACAATAAAGAAAATCACATATATGTCGAATACTGTCAGTTTTTTTTACCAATTATTGATTCTACAAAAACTATGAATATTTTCAAATATATTCAATGCTTTAAATCATGGTATAACTAACTATACAAGGTAGTCTCATTTGAGAAATTGGTGATGCCAACCCTTCTTAATGTGGAATTCATATATCAATTTCAAATTAAAGGTTCGTTCGTTTACTTTCCCAGTAATATTTACTCAGTAAGAATTTGCAGAGAGTAAATACGAATTTTTCCTTTTCAAGAGAGAAAACTACAAAAAGTAAACGAACAACATCCAGTTAAAAGATTGTTTCGACACAGCTGATTAAAACAACAAACAAATTGGCGCAAACTATAAGACAACATTTTTATTAGAAAAATGGATAACAAGCGGAAAATTGATGTTGTTTGTTCCCCATAAACATTTAAAAGGGTTGTGACCTGTTATTCCTGTATCTGCAATTGATATGGGGGTGGACATAACCGATGGTGTTCCAGACATGTTAGGAATGCACACTTTTTTGTTTCGATTTGGAACCTAAAAAATCGTTCGCCAATTACTCTTATTACTCTTATTTTTAAATACTTGCGTTTTCTTCATCCATTTTGGTATTTAATGATACAAAATCAAAATAAAATTCACAAAACAATCAATTTTCTTGAGAACAATTTTTTGTTTGTTTACAAAACATAACAATACAGCTGATTAAATATCAGCTGATGGTACAAGAAAATTCTTACTGAGTAAATTTTCCTTGTAAGAATTTGCAAATACTCAGTAACACAACTGTCAAATCTGCTCTCTCAATTCACTCTCTTTTACTGGACTTTTGGGTAAACGAACAACATTTTGTAATAATTTGTACAAATTCGTACAAATTATTGAGTAAACGAACGAACCTTAAATGAAAAATAAATTCCATAAAGTGCTACGCATGGCAACTGGCAAATTTTCAACAAATTAAAAAAAAATTATTTCTAAAGCTCCACATTATTATCAAGTTTTAACCATGGTATAATTATAAAAGGTAACAGCAAGTGTTGTTGTACAAAAAACTATACAACAACCACATGGAAATTTGTTGTTGTAAGTTCTACTAGTGTCAACTCATTTGACAGAAAAATGTAAACAAACAAACAAATTATCATCAAATTATTTTTATTTTGAAAATGGAATATTTTCGAATCCTCAAAATAAAAATTGAATAACATGAATGAAAATCTATCAAATTTATATTTCTATCGCTTCCACATCTTTCCTTTAATTGAGCCATTGCCATATATATGGGTAACACATATGACAATGCTGGGAATAGCGAGTTATTCCTTCAAGAAAGATTTGCTTCCTCAAACTTTCCCAGCAGGCAGATTGAGTAAATTGAATACGGAGCACATTAATAAAGAACAATTTCAAATTGTATGCTTTCCCAATTTTCCTGTTGGGTGATTTTTAAAAACATAATTTGTCAAATTCATATTGACACTAGAATTACGTTGGAATCAAATCAGCTGAGATTTGCTGTTACCTTTTATAATTGTACCATGAGTTTTAACTAAGAATGTTGCAATTTTTATTTATAGGTTTTATATACAGGGAACTTAAAAATATTAATAGAGTAACTTCGGGTAATGTGGATCACCATTTTCTTTTTTTGATATTGTGGGCGTAACAACGGTAAAAAGTAAAAGCAAATTGTTTTCACGACATAGTAGATTTGTTGGCTATATATATATTCCAGGTCAAACATTATATATATTTGTCTATAAAAATGTTATTCCATTATATTTCGGGGATCAATAATTAAAGGTAGGTTGTGGATTGGTTGTGATCAATTTCATTTTATTGCACTATTGGGTAACAATGAATGCAAAAATATATGGGTTCATGCTTTGGAATAGCCCACTTTTGGAATAGCCCATTTGCGGTATTTTGAAGGTCCTTGCTTCATTATCCAACTGAGGCACCTGTAATTTCGCATATCGAGTTTTCAGAGGATTTAATACCTTATGACATGTACATACGAGCGTTGTTCGCTCTCTCATTCGTTGTTCGACCCTTACAGCCTGTTTTTGTAAAATTCCAAACGAACGAATTCGAGTGACTTACGACCAAACCTTTATTTATGTTTATAAAGGTTTTCTGATTCAAAACAAAAATAAATGACATATTTTTCAAAACCAAGGAGTTTGCTCGTAAGTCATTCGAATTCGTTCGTTTGGAATTTTATAAAAACAGGCTGTTAATTATGAAATAATTACTTAGTAAAATTGAAAATGATGAATGAGAAGTAAAAAAGTAATACATTCTTGATTTTTTTATTTTTAAGATTTTAAATGGGCTAGTAAATGAATACCACTGCTTGTTAAGGTTTGTAAAGAAAGAAAAATAATTTGCAAAAATTTTTTGTTGTTGTTGCGATCAAAGATCAAAAATTTAAATGGACTCGTAAATTAATACCAATGCTTTTTAAGGTTTGTAAAGGAAGAAAAATAATTTAGAAATTTTTTTTGTTGTGGTTGCGATCAAAGAAAATTCCTTCGAATGCCCATCAGAACATGGCATAAAAAGTAACAATTTAAAAAAATCAATAAATGTTATACTGAAAAATATTACAAAATTAAATTACAGTGTGGCAACAAACATTACAACTTAAATTACAATATGGCAACCACCCATTTAATTCAATTTTTATTCAACAATAAAATTCGCTTCTCGTTATTCATTCAGAATAAGGCGAGAATGTAAAATCGAAACAGAAAGCGAATATCGCTAGGAAGATTTCTCGCATGTAAAAAATGTTTCGCTTTCACATTCTCGCTTTATTCTGAACCAAGGTAGATATACAAGGTAGCCGCATCGGCGAATTTCTACAACAAACATCGGTTGTTGTATTTTGATATGTCAAAAATATTTTGCCAAAACAAATAGATTGACAAGATTTTTTTACACAAATTCTTGTAGAAAATGTTAATAAAAGTATTGCCAAAAAAGCTCTTCGAAATTCGGAGATTTTCATTCATAATTTTGTTTTTTAATTTTTTGGTTCAACATTACAACAACATTTTTGACATTTATTTGTCCAACAGCTGGGCCGATGCGGCTACCTTATTAAATATACCTTGATTCTGAACGAATAGGGAGAAGCAAAAAATGCGAGATGCGGATTCCAATCTACGAATATGGTGGTTGAAAAAACATTCGTGTTGTCATATTGTAATTTAAGTTGTAATGTGTTTTGTCCCTTTGAATTTATTAGCGAAAATTTTTAGCTTTTCATTTTATTCTCCTACTCCCTGTAATCCAGAATACCTAATTTTTCCCCAAAGCCGATTTTTTCGCTTTCGAACTTCATTCAGAATAAGGCGAAAGCGAGAATGCGAAAAAATTCGCAGGAAAATGTTGTTCAGATTAAGTCGAAGGGGAAGAGCGAGTAAATGTACGTGGAATTGACATCCAGAATAAGGCTGAACATATTTCGATGTCATTGAATGATGTCAAAGACATAACGAATAATGGGAAAAAACCTGCGATTAAATTAATTCGCAATTTATTATTCCTCTATATAATTTTTTGCCGTTTTATTTAATTTCGATATTTTATCTCTTCAAATTCTTAAAGTAACAAATTATTTTATGATATGAATATATAAAATATTCCTTATTACCTTTATACATTCCATGGCAATATTTTGTTGAGCGTGCATCGTTATCAATAGGATTTCCAATGACATTTTATTTGTTGTTTTCTAGTTAAAAATTTGCATACAATCATTTATAATATTCTAAATTGTCATAGAATATTCTAAATTGTGATATTTTTCATAAAAATATTTATTACTTGTGCTTTTGAAGTCAGCTCCCTTTAAATTTATTAGCGAAAAATTTCGCACAAAATGTCATCACATTCTCCCACTCCCTATAATGCAAAATAACGGATTTTTCCGCTTTCGCATTCTCGAATGCGAGAATGTGAAAAAATTCTGAAAACCACATTGATTTCACAATTTTGCGGGTTGTACCATGGTACAATAATACAAGGTAGGGCAGCTTGAGGTGAATTACAAAAAAAGCAACTATTCACGTGTGGCTTCTTCTGCCAACAATAAAAAATACGCAACAAGTGTTTTTGTTTATTTGACATTTTTTCAACACAAAACTAAAAGCGCGAAAAATGGATGAAAGGTTATGATTTCTTTCCAAAATCCAGTAGGGAATACCATCAAATGTTTGTTTCATCCATAACAAAATAATTATTTCCAGATGAACATGTTAAAACATACTTTACATTTCAATTAAATTTGAATAGGTTTAAATTTATTTTGAACTTACTTGACATAGTATTCAAAACAATACACACACATACACAAAATATGTATTTTGATTTGATGGAACAAGCCACCTTGAGAAAAAATTGTAATCAGTTGGTAGCTATGCCCTACCTTGTAATAATTATACCATGGGTTGTACTACTTACATGGAATTCTAGAATCCAACCTTATTAAGGGAGTTCATAGATGGGAATTCCATGCTTCGCAGATTCCTTAACTTTATCTTTCTACATTACTCACCGTCCACCATCCATTACAATTTTATACAGTAATAACAATAATGTTTTATTTTTAATAAATAAAAAAGTTTATTAGAAATAGACAACATTTATCATAAAAAAATCAATATGTAAAAATATTTCAACATTGTTCAATATACATGTTCAAATGTTGTTCATGTTTAAAAAGTATTTTTATATACATATAAATGTGTTTAGGAGAAAACGTTGTAGGCCCGCTGGGATAAGAGTTGAGTGTTTATGAAATTTACAACTAGCTAACAATATTTATAGAAAATAAAATAAAATGTAAACAAACTTCTTGAAAACAATCAATAACTTATTGTGAAGAACACAATTTGGGGGTTCGTTTTATGATTTGTTTACCTTTTGGCTAAATAACAGTCGTTTTTTATACATCAACACAACAATATAGAAAAAATTATATATATTATCGATTACTACAATATGTTACTAAAAAAAATAAAAAAGTTTAAATATATATAAATCGTTACAGTAGGTAGATAGCATATTCTACATATAAAAAAAACAATTGTTTTAAATTTTAGGCAATAACCAAAATTATGTGTTTTCTTGTTGAAGTTTTTTTTAAGTATGTATCTAAATATTGTTTGATTTTTTTTTGGCTTTAAATATACATTTTTTTGTTATAATTGCAAGAACATTGTACGATTATTTTTTATTTTTTTAATTGTACGTCATAATCTCTCTCTAATGTGTATATTCTATCCATTTCAAATATTTTGTGCATTTTTGTCTACAATTTCTGTACAGAAATAAGATCTTATTCTACATGACATCACCGACATCGATCGATTCGATAGCCATGGAATATCGATCGGATTATATATAAGTCGAAGTTGGGGGGGTACAATGCCACAACATTATTAGTTTGACTTTTTGACATCAGCTCCATAACTTGACGCTTTGCTAATTTTCGACATATTGATAGCTTTAACCATGAATACATAAACTGAAAGATGAAAAAGAGAAAAATGTTAATACATATGAAAATCTGCTAGAATAATAACCATCTTATAATTGAAATAAATGAAATTGTTTTCGATTTACACTTTATAAATTTGAAAAGTTTTACTTTTTTACTTCTTTTCAGTTTATTCCCAAATTGCAAGAATATACTAATATATATAATATAATATAATATATATATATATATATATATAATATACATATATATATATATATATATATATATATATTAATGGGCCTGTAGAACTATATCACTTTTAGTTTAGCAAATTTTTACTCGAAACCCGTTCATATATCGGCAATAATAGTAAAATTTTCCACCAAATTTAAGAGAAGACTTTACTCGAGAAACTTTGATGAGCACAAATTGTAACCAGGAATGCCAATTTGGACATTTTTACCAGTTTTCCGTTCCAGAACATTTCGTATAATTTTGTACTCTGAGAGTGATTTTGACTTTTTAATTTAATTCGGACCCACAAAAACTCTGCAATGTTAGTATTCCTAGTCCATAACAGAGTTATCCACCATGTGCTCCTTCTAATCCCGTTGGAATTTTTTGTTTCTGATGTTCCAGCAAGCATGATTTTTCGCTCACTGGAACATCAGCCGGCCGTAGAAGAATAGGATTTTCTTTAATCTCAAAAAACAATAACACAAACTGATGTAAATTGCAAAACTACATATAGGGGTGCCACCAATTAATATTATGTTTTTGTTCGCATTGTATACTTACATGTAACTAGGACGGAAATAGCAATTGACAAGCCAATCCAATTCTTCAAAATCAACGAGGATAACAAGTAGTACATTATCAAAGATATCGAAAACACGGCCCATGCCAAAAAGTTGACGAGGGAACATAATCGTTTGGGATATACTTTACATGCTGTTTCTTTCATACCCGATGTTTTGAAGAAACTACCCGTAGTGTGGAAACTATCAATAATTCTGTCTTTTTCAACGAAAAGATTTTGTAACCATGCAGCAGCCTTCTCTTCATCGGCTGGGACTTGTTCCAATGGTATACGACGTACAAACATAAAGCCTTCAACAGGTTTGCCATTTAAGAGTGTTGATATTGTTGGTGGATTCTAAAGGGGTGGATGTTAAACATTATTTTCACATTTTAAAAAAGTACGAGTTTGCAAATTGACATACCACAGCATCTTTTTTGAAAGCCAAATTAATATCGTATATGGCTGGACAACGTCCACGCAAGCTTTCCAAACTGGCGGTGAAACCCTTTGTGCGGGGTATTAAATGATGTTTCAATACGGTCATACCACGTTCCTGGGCAAATTTAACGGAAGCCTCGTGTTTCTTCTCAGTGAAACGTGTGCCCTCGGCATTCAACAAAAGCCAAGTGGGATCTGGATAGGCAAACACTTCCTTCAACTGGCGTGCAATAATTTCCCTGTCCTTGTCGTACGAACGCTCCAAGAAGACAAATTCGGCAAATTTCCATGCCCAGCCGATAACGGGTACATAGGCAATTACTTTTTTGGCATATGCCTTGCAATTGCCCAGCACACGAGCCTTTTCGGTAAACATCCATCCGGCCAGCCAATCTATTTCATATGAATGATTCATGATGAGCAAGACATGTTCATTGCCACAATATTTTTTCTCATCTTCGGCATCCATGTAAACATGGACTTTACTATTTGAGTACCAGTCGGCAACAAAAATCAGTTCTGTGAATTAAAAAAAAAAAAATAATTATTATGATGTGTACGTGTTTACTATTCGAATTACCAGTCGACTTACGTGAATATAGAGAATAGCACAAATAGTACATAATTCTACGGAAGAGCCATTTGTTAAATGGTTTCAGGGTAAAATGCAGTATTAATTGGATAAAATTTATAATTAATCCCGATGTGAAGAATGTGATTGCTATGCAAAAATGCATCAGTCTTTGTTTTAATTTTTCCACTGAAGACATGATGATTTCGAATTAATGTTGCGCAGCTGTCCAATCTTGTAATTGAATATCTAAAAAATGAAGAAGAAAAAAAGCAATAAAATAGAAAGATAGATTTTTATAATAAAATATATATTGAAAATTGAAAATGCTTAAAAAATACTGTATAGTAGATTTTGCCAATAAGGGGGATTAAGTACATACATAAATTTAAATCCATCAAAGTTTTCGAATAGATATATCAAAAATAGATAAAATTCTCCAGAGAAAATCGAACGCAATATTTATATTATACTAGCATAGGCCCGCTACGTTGTTAGCGAAACTTTTTATAGTTAAATAAATAAACATTATTTTAGCTACGCAATATACTTTTGGATTAAGTACAAATTTGAAACATTTTTATTATAGGTTTTATATCTTAATATGTTGTTTTAATCTCAGATCTTACTCCGTATTTCTTTCGTACAGAAACGTTAATGCTTCTATCCTACTAAATCGAGTACAAGTTCTGTAAGTTTACTATTTTCTCGATCGTCCCGATGGACTGATGTAAAAAGTTCTATAATACTGTGTTAAACTTTTTTGTTCCTTCCGGTAATTTAATACTAATGGTAAAATATCTAGTTCGTTTTAGTACTGATAGTAGTACCCTTATAGTACAAATTACAATTTTGCACAGCGCATCGTTTTTTATTCAGAGACCTGCCTTTATAGTGAAGATTTCCATTAAAATTGCAGAAATTTAGTATTTCTGGTGCGTTACGTATTACAAAATACTCAATGGTATTGTCGGTATTTTTAGTATATCCTCATAATAATGATCCAGCCCATTATTCATTACATCAAAAGATCGATCCAATGTGGTTGGAAACATCATTGGAAATATCAGTATTGTTATTTTAGAAAATTTGGAACTTTAGCATTTAAAATTGACTACACTTTAGTACTTGTGATGTTCAGCGGCTTATTGCATAGTTTCACTTATTAGTATTTGAAGTCTCGCCTGTTTTTCACTACACTAGAAATTTTAACAAAAATTCACATAATCATTCGCTGTAGTATAGATTCATGTGGGATTCGAAACTATATTTCATATAACCGTATATATTTCCATTAAACATTTTATTTACCATAGTCAAAGAGTAATACTAAAATTCGGATATCTTTCTCTAACATTTTCTATTTAGTACTTTTTACTAAAAATTAAAAAAAAAAATACTTTTTTTAATTTGTTTAAACAAAATATACATACAAAATTTCAGGACTCTACCTCTACTCGTTCTGTCGTATAAAATATTTAGTACTTTAAGTACAAATGTCAAACAATATTGCCAAAAGCATTGTTTTTATATCCACCCGTACCGCCGTATACAATGTGTTGTACTTTTTAGTACATTTTAAAAGTTATTAATGCAAAATTTTTATGTATAAATTGTTATTGTCATAGTTCCAGATAATTATTTAATAACAGGTTCCTATCTTCATCCATTCTACCGTATACAATATTTAGTACTTGTATTCGATTCGTATTCTATTTGTTTATAACATACAAAAAATGTTCCCATACTGTGCAATATTTTGTATTAATGATGCCATTTAGTACGAATTTTCAATAAACCAAGCTTGTTAATTATAGTTGGACATTTTTGTACTCTAAATTTACATTTATATTTTTTACCATTCACTATGGTACAATATTTAGTACAATTTTGTGCATATCGGTCTTTTTGTAATAGTTAAGCTACATACTAAATTTCAGATATCAATCTATGACTTTTCCATTATAAGTTAATATTTTGTACCATTTTAGTACAAATTTCAAAAATATATTAATATATAGCATAGTATTTGTAATAATTAAATCTATGTGCCGTGTTTCAGATTTCTATTCCTACCGGTTCCATTATACTACAGTATTTAGTACTAATTCCAAAAAGTTATGCTTAGATTAACCTACATACAAAATTACAGATTTCTATTTCTACCAGTTACATTGTATTTACATATTTAGTATTCAAAAAAAAAAAAAAATGGCATAGTATTCTATTTGTAATAGTTAAAGCTATATGTGAAATTTCAGAACTTTTTAATATATTCTAGTACTAATTTAAAAAAAAATATGTTTGCCCATCATTCTACTTGTAATAGCTTAAGTTACATACCAAATTTCAGATATCTATCCCTACCTGTTTCATCGTAGTATAATATTTAGTACTAATTTGCAAAATTTGTTCACACATTCTGATTAGTTTATAATTGACAAAGCTGCATACCAAATTTTAGAGTTGTAGTTCCAACCGTTCTGGCGTAATACAGTTTTTAGTACTATTTAGTACCATATTTGTTCTAATTTCCAAAAAATATTTTTTGTACATCATTTTATTTTTAATGACTTAAGCTACATACCAAATTTCAGACATCTATACATTTTCCATCGTAGTATAATATTTAGTACATTTTAGTACCTTTAGTACTAATTTCCATAACTTGTTCACAAATTCTGATTTGCTAATCACTGACAAAGCTGCATACCAAATTTCAGAGTTCTACTTCCAACCGTTCCGGAGTAATACAGTTTTAGTACTTTTTAGTACCTTTTAGTACTAATGTCCAAAAAATATTTTTGCACAGTATTCTCTTTGTAATGGCTTAAGCTCCATACCAAGTTTCAGTTATGAATCTTCACCAATTCCATTCAAATACAATATTTAGTATTTTTTAGTACATCTAAGTACTAAATTCCAAATTTTTTTCACAAATTCTAGTCCGCTCGCCATAGACAAAGTTACGTGCCAAATTTCAAAGTTCTACATCTAACCGTTCCCGCGTAATACAGTTTTTAGTACTTTTTAGTACCTTTTAGTACGAATTTCCAAAAACCCCGCCTTATCACACGCCTACTCACCAAACCCCACCTACATGCCAAATTTCAAGCTTCTAGCTTTAGCCGTTTCGTCTGGGCGTTGATGATCAGTCAGTCACTTATAACGCAACTCTTTTATATATATAGATATAAATAATATTGAAATAAACAAGTAAAAAAAGTCATTCGGTGTTGCCGACAGATATATACCCTCAGCCTATGGTTTGCGGAGGTCTTCGGAATTACACACAGATTTTGTTATTGGTTTTATGTAATATTTTTATCAAAGAGGTTTCGGATGTTTATCAAATCGGTTATCCAATCCGCTTCAAAGTTCGGAAATTTCCATCTCTGTTATGAACACATGTTAAATTTTGTTTCAATCTGGCAACGGTTATCCAATCCGCTTCAAAGTCCCAATTTAGATTAGGCGAGTTTACTTGCGGCAAGTCTTTGTTTGTAGGAGAGAGGGGCAAGGAGTATAGAAATGGAAAAAAATTGCTCGTACCAACAATTTTCTGGCAATTCGTTTTGTGTATTTCGTATTTGTTGACATTTTATATATATTTAAATGTGAAAAAACAACAAATAAAAAAATATTTTGGAAACCGAATTGCCTTTTATAGACGCATGGAGCAAGTTCAAAAGAGAACGACAAGAATTGCCGCAAGTAAACTCGCCTAATCTAACTCAAGACAAAGTTCGGAAATTTTTGTTTTGGAAATTTTCATTTCTGTTATGAACACATGTTAAATTTTGTTTCAATCTGGCAACTCCTTCATGTATTTTGGAAGTATCCAAAACACTTAACTTTTTTCTGTTTATACAACAACGCTTTCTTTGCTGGCTAAGAACTTTCCGAACTGCCCTCGTATATGTTTATAACATTTTCGGACTTCATCTAGGCTAGATAAAGATAATAGATTGTGCAAAGTTTGGTTCAAATCGGACATTCTATTAGCCTAATATTGGATTTATATATATTGAAAATTTTTACCATTTATAGGGGAGGTACCAGAACTTGATCTAGACTAGGCAAAGTTAAAAGGCTGTATAAAAATTGGTTCAAATCGGACATTCCATTCGCCTGATATTGGATATATAAATATAGCAAATTTTGACCATTTATGGGGAAGGTACCAGAAAGAGTGGATCAATGGATCCCATTTTCGGACATGATCTAGGCTTAGTGAAGATAAGAGGTTATACAAAGTTTTGTTCAAATCGGATAGTCCGTATGATATTATAAAATTAATTCTTAGCACAATTTTTACCATTTTGTGGGGGAGGTGCCAGAAAAAGTGGACCGATATTCCCCATCTTCGAACTTAAACTAAGTTTGGAAGAAATATTACATTGTGCAAAATTTGGACGAAATCTGTTGCTCCCTTTGAGAGTTATCGTGCGCATTAGACGGCCAGACAGACGGGCGGTCATTTGTAAATCGACTCCAATTTGTCTGAAAAGGATTTGGTTGAATGAAACATGGGGTCTAAAACCAATATTTCGATTAGACACAAAGTGTATATACCCTCATTAGCCATAAATCTGAGGGTATAAATATTCACCTATAGTGACACATTTCCGGGAACAAATATAAATTATTTTAGAGTTATGAGGTATCGAACATTAGCTTCAAGGTATTTATGGAAGGAATTTATATTTACTTTTTTTCAGTGTGAAGTAAGATTCAGATATATGTAGTATATATAGTATTTTCAGTATTTTTTAATTAGCAATTATCACAATATAATAATTGAAAGTGAAATTTTACACTAAGAAGACGAATAAATGGTTTCTTATGAAATGCCCAAAATAAATAACGATAAAATGGACAGTAAATATATTATTGAACTCACAAAGTTTCCGTTACGGTGTTTCAGCACTAATTTCCTAAAACTAACTACATTTGTAGGTATTGAATTTAAAATGGTCATATGCGAAACATTATAAAAAACAATACTTTATGCCATATCAAAAAATATGAAATATTATATTGCCATAGATACAGAGAACAACAACAGCAAGGGCAACGATTATTTTGATAAAAGCAAAAACAAACCGGCAATTCTTAATATCATCCGATTGCCTGAACTATTAGAAAGTAATTTGTGTATTGATAAAGACCGATATTATTATTTTTTTAATAATTCATTTAAATACCAATACG